TTTTTATTTTATTTTTGTCAATTTTATTTCTCAAAAATAATTTTACAAAACTCTTTCGTTAAAGTTTCTTAGTTTTTGACCAAAAGTGACACAAAAATTCACATTTTGACAAAAAGTATTAAACAGAAAAATTTTAAAAATTTTCTCTACGTGCACTAATTTATGAGAAACATGCAGGCAAAGATACAATTTTGAAAAATAATTTTTCAAAACTTTTTTCTCAAAGTTATAGTTTTTGACCAAAAATGACATAAAAAACTGACATTTTGACAAAAATTTGAAAACAGAAAAAATTGTAAAAATGTTTTCTACGTGCACTAATTTTATGAGAAACATGCAGGCAAAGATACAATTTTAGATATTATTATAGAAGTTACAAGTTTGCCATTTGTTTCGATTTTTTTTTTTTTTCTGCCTGTTTCTCATCAAATTAGAGCATTTTGAGAAACTTTTCAGAATTTTTTTTCGGTCTTTTTTTAGTGTAATCTTTGGTCAGATGGTAAATAAAATTATGATGAAAACATTCGGATTTGTGTGGAACCCCAGGGTTCACCTCCTGGGCAAGTTCGAATCCCGGTTAGGGCGGTTGGTACCTTCCAGTGGACTCACCACCTGCAGGAAGGTTCAGGGGGGTTGGTACGGTGCAGTGTGATTTGGGTGGAGACCGCTGCCCCCACGACCCGGTAACAGATAAGCGGACGAAAATGTATGTATGGATGGATGGATGGATGGATAAATGGATGGATGGATGGATGGATGGAATTTCCTTCTCTTTGAGTCCTCTGCTCCACGGAGCTCTCTGATTGGCAGTCCTCAACTTACTTTCTTGATCGGCACCGACCATCTAACGAGAGCACTGAGTCTCTTAGTTCCGGACTCTTGTTATCTTAGAGTCGCCAGGTAACATTGACTATAGTGGGAAATCTGCACGCGCACGCAATTTTCTTTACGTTAACGCAGATTCTTTTTTATTTCTCCGCCTTTCTTTTTTTTTTTTAGTAACGGGTTCCTTTAATATGTAGCTAAGTAGAATACTTCAGTCAAAATGTACTTAATTAAAAGTAAAAATAGCTTTTCCGGAAATGACTTAAAAAATTAAATTACTCACAAAAACTACTCAATTACAATAACGCGACTCAGTGTAATTCGTTACTTTCCACTGATTAGATTCTGAAAGTCTTCCAAAAAAAAAACCAACTTCTCAATGATGGTTTTAAATGCACTCATTTACCTTAAAATATGAAGCTATGTGCTTTTACATAGTTAAATTCAAGAAAAAAATGTGTTCGTCTCAAAAATGAATTACAATGCACTCATACATTTTAAAATACGTAGCAATGTCCTCTTTAATGTTAAGATTCAGAAAAAGACTTTTTGGTACGTCTAGATCAAAAAGAATACACAGCAGATACTGTTTCATTACTTTATTGTCACTGTAAACAGTATTTTCTTGTTGATTCCACATTCTATTTTTTCTTAATAATGTTATTTTTTTTTAATCATTATCATTTAAGAAGGGGTTTTGTCACAAACGTACGAACTCCTGAACAAAACTAAATTCTTTGGATCAGTTGAAGTGCACGTGACACCACTGCAGAGCTTCTTTAAACTCAAAGTTTAGAACAATACACAACTTAAGGTGCTTGAGAAAATACTCAGCAAATATTTTCTAAATAGTGTTGAGAAACAATTTGGTGATTTTAGCAACGTATGATTAGATTAAAAAAAAAACTTTTGGCACAATTCAATAAATATACAGAAATAAATTGGTTTGATTCTAAAAACATTTCCCTTCAGTCAAACGTATTTAGAGTTTAACTTTAAGGCACCGCGTTCCACTCCATTCCAAGTGTGATTAGTGTGTGACTCCCACCAAATATATAAGACAAGTATGTGAATTTATTTAAAAAGATTAGAAAATACATAATTTATTTTATCGTGCTAACTTTTTTTTTTTTAATAAAAAAAACCTCAGTGACCAAACAGGCTGCTCTCACCAACACGAACACAGCAGTGAGTGACGAGGTAGAGGAGCGAAGGAGATCGCGATCAATTAAGAGACAGTAGCATTTAATCAGCAATCACTGAGAGAAAAACAGTGCACCACCTAGAGGCTGATCTCTGTTGCTGTGCCATATTTAAAACAGGATAGAAAAATAATAAAAAAAGTACACGTTTTCTCACAATGACACAGTTTGCTGGTATTTGTGCTGTTTTTTGCTGGTAGCTTCCTCCAGCAGGGGCAGTGTTGTTAGCAGGTCATTTTAATGCTAGCTAGAAAGTTTACCAGTGACAACAATAACAAATCATTTTATAAAAGGGCAGCAGGTTATGGCTGAATCTGTTCTACGGGAGCCAAACAAGTCACTTTTCCACTATTAATGCCTCTGTGCCTGCACTGCACGCTGCCCTAGGAAAAAACTGAGCTGCAGTTACAGTCAAAATGACTGGATGGTTTTTTTTTGGAAGAACTTGGGGTGTGTTTTTGTGAGGGGAGGGCACCTAATTGGCTGGATCATCAAACATTTGTTCACACTTCACTTTTGTAAACAATGACTTAGTACCGATTAAATCTCAGCAATCACTTCAAGTACAATGATCTGTTATCAATAGAAAAGTTGGTCAAAACGGCAAAAAAATAAGACCAGGCTTGAGTTCCGAAGAGGTGGGAACACCTCAGACTCCGGACTGGAGTTACCACACTGTAGCATACTCACCTGTTAGCGTCTGCTAGGCTGTATACTCTACTCAACCACCGCTCTTGGTTCTCAAAGTTCTCCCCTCATTCTGGTGTGCAGGTCTTCCTGGTCGATCTTGGTGCCCTGTTGGTGCCAGCGATGGTGGGCGAGCAGTGCCACGTTCCTGGCAGAGATGGCGCTCATCTCCATGGTGCTAGCGGCCCAATCCACGGCGCTGAGGTAGTACAGGCGGTTGTGTAGGATGAACGGGGGGGTCTTACGATGCGGTGGGCGGTACGCAGGGTAGGCCAACCACCGGGTCTCAGACACGGAGTCCCAGGAGGTGAAGATGTTCTGGAGCTGCTCCCGAGACAGTGGGTGAGGAGAGGAGACCCTCCAGACTTTGGAGTGACTGGCAGGAGGTCGACTGTAACCCTGCGGGATGTGCACGGGGTCCAGGGACGCCAGGCTGTGGATGACGGAGTCCTTGGACTCTTTGGTGAGGACTTCAGACACCGTGAAGTCCGAGGCGAGCTTCGTGCTCCCCAGGTACGACACGTTGAGCACGCCGTTGACCAGAGTGGACACTGTCTGGTGGTAGCGTCCAGGATAGTGAGAAGGGAGCGGAGGGGAGAAGCCTGAGAAGGTGATGTCGGATTTTCCCTGGTGGAGCGGAGTTGCAATAACCACAATGTCGTACAGATCGTGAGCTGAGCCGGATTCACCGACGTAGTTGACTTTGTAGAAGCTGGTTGTGGGGCCTGAAAATAAAACAAGACTAAATGTTTCAAAAATCTGAAAATCACCGTCCGGTTTAACAGCCGTTAAAATTACATTTATCACAATCACACGCTTTCAATAAGTCAAGAATGAATTGTTGCCAAACTTTACCAACTAAGTATCAGCAGCTAAATCCTAAATGTTACCTAAATCGCTGATCGTCGCCATCATTTCTGGACTAAAATGCACAATAATAACTGTTGAATCTGTGACACGGTGAGTTCCGGCAGTTCTGTACCTGGTATAAATAAAAATGTTTAGACAGAAAAAAAAAAAATCACCTTTCTTAGAAGGTCGAACCTCGATTCCGACAGAAGTCACTGTGGCAGGAATCAGTTCACTCTTACTGTGGTACAGTAGCCCTAAGCATAGTCTCTTGTTGCCTCCATCCACTGCCCACATGGCCGAATCTGCCCCGGTTAAAGACAAGGCCCCTGGAGGACAAGTCAGGAGTGTTCCATGAAGTTCAGTTCAGTTCAAATTTAAACCAGATTAAAGCAGTCAAGCTGAGGAAATATTTACCCACAAAGCCGTGGATGCGGACACTTTGACCGAAGCTGACACGAGTGATGGGCGACACCATATCATTGAGGAAGGTCTGTGAGAAGCCTTCACTCATCATGGTCTCCTCCAGGGTCTGGTTGATCAGGGTCAGGAAGCTGTCACCGCCCATGGCGTGTAAGAGTCTCTCCACAGTGGTGAAGGCGTAGCCGTACTGCTGGTACTGGTAGATCCTGGAGACAGGGGTTCAAGACCAGGAGCAAATAAGAACGGCAGGTTTATCCCACTGGGAAAAGGTTGACTGGAAACTGTGGAAATGTATTTATTATTTTTGGAATTAATGTAAATAAATCTGTGATTCAGATCTGAAAATAGCCTGCGACAGCGTTGACTAGGGATGTTAGCATACTTGTGTAACATGGGTAGGAATCATTAGCCGTTTTTCCTCTGATAATGAAAACCTGATAACGCAATGCCTGGGTTTCAGAGAATGATTTGTGGGATAACGCATGTATATTAAAGTGAAAGTCACTAGATGGCAGCATTGCAGCTCATTTAATTAATCTCATACTCATACAGTGGTTTCTACAGATAAATAAATAAATATTACTAGACCTATATGGATATCGGTTGATATCGGAATCGGAAATTAAGTGTCTGGACAATATCGGCATATCGGATATCGGTAAAAAAAAGTTAATATCGGACATCCCTAGGATTAATCGTTGCTGAATACAACTGTAAGTACAGGTGTAATGACGACATCTTTTCATCTTACCTCATGAATTTGTCCAACACAGTCTCCACCCACATCTGCATCCGCAGCAAGTTGAACCCAAACCTCCAGAGCATTCGAAAGAAATTGATTATGAACCAGTCGCTCTCTTCAAACACGAGTTCCTTCCCGTCAAAGATGGCCATTTTAGAGGCCACGTTTTTTCTGGGAGGAATACCTGAAACACAATGTTTTTTCTGGGAGGAATACCTGAAACAGAACAACAACAATAATACAAAGTCACGTGTACTCACGTGTACTCCACGGTGTGAGTATTCATCTCAGGTGCTGTGAATTTTACCTATTTTTTCAACAAAATGCTTCAGGTGCAGGTTCAAAGGATGGATACGTAAACCTCCCGACTCGTACTCGTGGTCACCCATCTTCACCGTAGCCAGTCGGCCTCCCACGGTTCCAGATTCAAACACGTCGATCTTCACCCCTGCTCCGAACTCCTGCCGCAGGTAAAACGCTGCTGCGGTGCCGCCGATGCCCGCTCCGACCACAGCTGAGCCGCAGGAAGAGGGAAAAGGATGAGTGACATGTTCCACCTCAAAGGTTCACCAAACCACTGTCTGAGGAACGCTGGGTTAAGATGGTAAGTTAGTTCAGTGCCAGTCGAAACGTTCTAAGATAGACGTTTGTTTTTGGCCGAAGTAAAAATATTGATTTTCATCCCACCGAATTCTACGCAGAAAGAATTCTCTGATGAAGTTCACAGTTAAACAGAGAATATAAAGAGAAATTGTTTTTTCCTTCTTCAAGAATTGAGAACTTTTCAACTTCCCTCTTCAATGGCCTATTTAGAAAATATGTCTGATTTTACCTGTTAAAACACATTTTTATGTTTAAATTAGGGATGTCCAATAATATTGGCTGACCGATATTAGCATAAATATGTAATATCTGTAAGAATCGTTATGGGTTTTTCCTCCAATAAATGAAGACCCGATAAATGCCCTAAAAATAGTTTTGAGGATAAACGGCTATATAGTAAAGTAAAAGTCACTAGATGGCAGCATTGCAGCTCATTTTATCTTAATAATCAGGGGATTGTATGCAGAATGCTGATGTCAGCAACTCATACAGTGGTTTGTACAAATAAATAAATAAATAAATGTTACCAGGCCTATATCGGTATCGGTTGATATCGTAATCTGAAATTAAGTGTTCGGACAATATCTTTACACTTTACTTGAAAACACTCGTCGGTCTCTACGGAGGTTTAACAACAACCACCATCAATAAGGAGTTAACACCGGTGAACAGTGAACAGTTGTTAAAGAGAGTGGATTCGTCATTAGTTCATGACTCACCGATCTTTTTGGGCTGTTCCTGCAGCTCTGAGGCTGAAGCTGGACTCCTGATCCCACTGAGCCACAGATTCAGGAAGAGCAGCACCGTCAGGGACAGGGTTTTTAGACTCATGGTGGACAGACCTGAGCACAGAGGAGACAGTATCATTAGCATTTATAAAGTCTATCCACAACCAGGTTCCCGGAAAGACCCGGGAGAGAGAACGTCCAGATCAATTAAACGTGTATTGGCCAACTTATCAGTTTGGATTTAAATTTCTGGAAGTGTTCGGTTGTAGTGGAGACTTACTATTTAGGAATCAGCAAAGAAGAATAGTTCCTGTAGTTCCGATAGAATGTCTCCAGGCTATTCGCATTTGTGATAAACATTAAGTAATGTTCAAATCCAAAAAAACATTAAAAAAAAGTCAAGACAAATTTACTAAACTCGTTTCACAGTTGACTCATGTCAAAATACTTTTGACAACGAGACCGTAACGAACATTGGGAGACACTTCCGGACAAGATAATCTTGATTTTCAAAATAAAAGTTCAGAAAAGTAAACATATTTCACAGGTTTCGTTTTGGGGTATTTTTTGTTTTGTTTTTACGAGCTAACAGGTTGTTTGTTATTTTTTTATATGCACACATTGGCGTTTATGTGTTTGAACATATCAATTATTGTATTATACACTGTATGATATCAATGCAAAACATTAGTGTGTTTGAACATATCAATTATTGTATTTTTGTAAGATCTACACTGTATGATATCAATGCAAACCATAATAGATGTTTACTTTGAAGTCCGACTAATACAAAACGGAAAATATCCCCTTTTTTCTAAAACCGGTTAGGAAGTGAAGCGGAAGTGCCGTAAAGCCGACTCGTGCTGAACTGGTAGTGAGTAGTTGTGACCTTCTTATCACATACTCTAATGAAATAAACGAGGCTCGCAGCGTAGCCGTGAACGCATCTGCTTTAGCACGCTAACCCCAAGCTGAGTTGTTTTAATTTTAACTGAAGATTTAGAGAAAAAAAACGACATTTAAAAGACAAATTACAATGGAAGCGAGCCAGGAGCGCATGCAGAAAATGATAGAGGACATGGTCAACAGTCTGGATAAAGACTACATCCGTAACATGCAGGTAAGTGACTTTAAGGAAGGACACTGTGTATGATCACAGAGGCGGTTGAATTAAGTCCGGGGCCCCTGGGGGACAGTTAACGTAGTCAAGATTCTTACTGTTAACACGAAAAAAGTACAAAACAGCGGATTGAAGAATATTTTTTTTACAAAACATGAAATTAAACAGACATGTAATCCCTATTCTAAAGTAAAATTTAAACAGCTAAAAAGAAGTATTGTAAAATTTAGGATAAGACTTACTCCTGTCTAATTTAAGGATCCGCTTTAGGGTTATTTTTTTTAAATTATTTAAATGTTAAATGTGTGTATGTTTGCTCCTGCTGCTACAGAGGGACATGTTCAGGTGCAGCGCCAAATGCTTCGACCGCCCCACAGACTCCACCGGCCAGATTCGTGAGTGCGTTGAACGGTGTCAGAGGCCGGTGGTCAAAGCTGAACAGACAGTCACCGAAGAACTGGATGCATTTCAGGTGAGACACAGAGTTTATCCAGACACCGATTCTGTTTTTCAAATGTAGAAAAGTCTCAAATCTAAATTATTCAGAACCTGACATCATAAGACACCAATTCAAGGATTCCCTAAATCATTTCACAAATTAAATATGCAAAGTCATTGCTTCTTGTATTTAAAAGTCTTGTTTCTATGTTTTTTAGTCTTAACAGCAACCCACTGAATTAAACCCAATTTTCTCACCTTCCTGTGCCCCTCGCCTCCTCCCCTCCAGAATCGTCTGAGGAGATGTACGATGCAGTGCAGCGATAAGGCCAAGGATCTGATGGACGACGGCAAAAACAAGTCCGCAGCTGAATCGCTGTTCAACAGCTGTCAGGCCACTTGTTTGGACGACCACGTCAACCTGATCCCCAGCATGACCCGTAGGATCCACGAGAATCTCCAGTCTTTTCAGCAGTTATGAGAGCGATGGCGGATGACGGCCCGGGCTGAAGACAAACACACGCAGCACTGCAGGGTTTGGAACATTACATCAAACTGAGTGACTTTTAATTTACTGTCATGAAGTGAAAATATTCACGGTGGTATTTATTGTTATACACCAGAGGACCAGGAGCTGACCACGGGTCCTGGACCTGGACGTTGGTGTGTTGACCTCAGAGTTAGCCGTCAGGAGTTTTTACTTTTCCCGTCTTCAGTTTATGTTATTGTGACTCAATCTGTGATTCTTCACCTCCACCACTGGTGAGACTTGTACACGAGCTAAATAAAAGTACTGTGATGGTTGTTGGTTTGAGCTTGGTTATTGTGTGTGTGTGTGTATACATATATATATACATATATATGTATGTATATATATATATGTATGTATGTATATATGTATATATATATGTATGTATGTATATATGTATGTATATATATATATATGTGTATATATATATGTATATGTATATGTATATATATATATGTATATATGTATATGTATATGTATATATATATATACATATACATATACATATATATATACACATATATATATATATACATATATATACATATATATACATATATACATACATATATATATATACATATACATATATATATATACATATACATATATATATATACATATATATGTATGTATATATGTATATATATATATACATATACATATACATATATATATACATATACATATACATATATATACATATATACACATACATATATACACACAGTTTTTTAAAAGACTGAAATATTTTTAAGTACGTACAAATAAAAGTATGACGACGACAAATAAAATGAAAACAATTCACTGTTAATCTACCTGCTTCTTTAAAAATCTTTAAACTTGTCGGCTCAGAATTATTCAGATAAGCTTGACTTGAACTGCGTTTAAATTCATAAACACGTTTTAATTGAACTCCAACTCAATCTTTTCTTTTCTCAAAATAATAATTAAAAAAAAAACTTTAAAGGAAGTGGATCTCAGTCCATGGAAGGGTCAGAGAATCAGGCTGTGACCTGGTAAGACATCCCATAATCTCATTAAAAAAAAGGAGTACTATCAAATCACAAACATGAGCTGTTGTAAAAAAAAAAAAAAGTTTTAAACTTGAATGGATCAGGGCAGTGAAGCGATGGGAGATCAGCACCACAGCCCCCGTTAAAGGGCAGTTTTATTGGCAGGTGATAATTGTGCACAGATTTTCTCCTGGTACAAAAAGAGAAACAAATTTAAAATAAATAAATGCCAAATATAAAAAAAACCACCTTCAACGTTGAACCTGATCGGTCTGAGAACGCAGACATTTTTCAGTTTTTCAAAACAGCATGAGGTAAGACATCGTCAGAAAAAAGCAAAGAGTTAAAGAACATTAAACATAAAAAACGACTTCATGTGAAAACGTTGAACACAGGAAGTGAAGAACAGAAGCTTCGGCTCGACACCGGTTCACATCCCTGCACAGAGTCACTACGGAGTTCGGTTTGATCGACAGGTGTGGTTGAAGAAAAAGTACAAAAATAAAGGGTTTAAGGCTCAACACACAGAGTCGGATAAACTTCAGGGCATTTGGGGGAACAAATGCAATTATCTTTTCTTTTCTTTAATGACAGATACTGGAATAAGCTGTGATTTGATTAATGAAGTTTTTTTTGTTCCTTTGTTTTCAGTATTTTGTGTGAATAGGATTTGTATATTATGGTAAAACGTCCACATGCAGACTGGACTAGAAGGTGATAAAAAAAATCTTTTTTTATGTATATATTTTACTTCTGAACTTTTTCCAGACTTCAGGGAGAATTGATGTTTGTTTCTATTGTTATTTTTTAAATGTCAAAGTGTTTAGGATTTAGCTTCAATAGTGATAAATTTATTATGAAATAACAGAGATGAACTGCTTATTCTGTACAAGTGCTGCTTTTGGGGGAAAATGGAACTGGTACCTATGGAACTGTAGGAGGTGAAGAAGCGATTCATTTTTACAGCCTTCTGTTCGATGTCAGTCAGTAAACCAGGTGAAAGAGTGAAAGAAAATGTACATTTCCAGTTAACTTTCTAAGTGTCAGCTTCACCTTTTGGTGTTGTTCCCACCTTTTAATATTATAGAGCCTCCTAGTGGTGTCCCCAAAGAAGTGCAAAAAAAAAAAAAAACAAACAAAACAAAACTTAAAAATTCTCACTTGAGGAGTTTAAAACCCCTTTTTTTCAGTTGAAAAAGTGCAGGAAAAAAAACGTCTTTCTGAGGTGAAGTCTCAGCTGCCCGCTCTCTCTGACTGTGTCTACGATGAGGAAGTGATATTAAACACGAGGGTTACGCACTGTACAAGTGTCCGTCAAGTCTGGGCCTCGATGTTGGAATGGTGGCCACTGGGGGGCGAGGGTCAGGGATCAGGACACAGAACGAAGAGTGATGTCCTGCTCCGAGGAATCTGGACGGCTGTCGGACGGGGGCGACGTGTACATGAAGTTACAGCAGATGTAGAGAGGGAATGATAAGAGGCGGCTGTCCAGGTTCATCACCACGTACTCCTGAACGACCGCAGAGAGAAACGGTTGGACAGATGTTCAAAGGAACGGTGAGACGACAGGACAGGACAGGACTGGTCACTCACCTGGTCCTTCTCCAGGGTCAGGAGCTGGTAACCTGTCGAACGGCTGCATATCGGCTTTCCACGGGAATCAAAGGAGGCCAGACGTAACCTGAGCAGAGAAGACGGAGAAATGATGTTTCCACGTCAGTCCAGACTGTCCTCCTCCAGGGAGGGTTCACAGGTCGGTCCAGGGGACGATATCACTCCAGCCTTTTCCTCGCTCCGCCACTGGCCAACTTTTAACTTCTACTTTAATTAAGGATGTCCGATAAAAATCGGCCAAACAATATTATCTGCCCTACATCAGCATATTTTGTAATATCTGAAAAAATCTTTTTCAGTTTTTCCTCTGATTATCCAAATGATGTGTGACCTAAAACTAGTTTAATTCCCCGGTGACAGACCAATCAGATACCTCAGTGCTCTGAACTGGTTCTAAACTCCTTCTCCTCCTCTCACACTCTCTCTTCTTTATGGCAGAAAATAATTGAGAACCACAGTTTTAGCCCATCTCCTCAGGGAGCAGCCAACACTTATCTTCCACCACTGTCCACCTATATCGATATCGGTTGATATCGGAATCGGAAATTAAGTGTTTGGACGATATCGTCACAAAGTTAATATCGGACCTCTCTAACTTTATCTGTTGTCATTTTAATGAATGTCCTGAATCAAACTCTCCATTTAAACTGTGTTACATTCACTGACCACCACTGACCTGTAGGCCAAATGCCTGCGGGGTTGCAGGCTCACAGCGCCCCCGCATGGCTGACTTAGAGTATTCCTTTTAAAGACTATGAATCGATTTGTGTAGTTGACCAACAGATCGAAACCAAAGTTGAAGCCCGTCCACCGCCACCAGTACTGAAAAACAAAAACAACAAAAAAAAGAAAAACCCAAACAGAGTTCATTCATCAGTTGACAGAATGTTGACGTGTCAAAGTCAACGTCAGACTCACGTCTCCATCTTTGGACAGTTTCCTCCCACATCTCATGCTGCTCAGCTCAAACTCTTCTTTGTTTGCTTCCTGAGGACTGTCGACAGACAAACGTATTAAATACAACCGATTTAACAACAGAGAAATATTAACCAACAGAATCTCCGCTCCTCACCCGATGTCGTTGTCAAACTCTGTGCGCAGCATCGCAAACCACTGGTTCTTGTACACCGACGTGAGCCAATCTGAGAAATTAGATAAATGAGATACGACAGATCGTATCTACATACACAGCACACACACACACACATATACATACACATATATATACATATACATACACACATATATATACATACACACATATATACATATACATGTATACATATATAATATATACACACACATATGCAAATATATATTTATATACTAGTGTGTATATTTATATACATGTATGTATTAAGGATGCACCAAATTTTCAGCCACCAAAAATCTTCTGCCGTAAGACTTCTATTACGGAAACAACACGGCCGAAACAGGAAGTAATGATGACGCAAGCAAAAAAACGGACCAGCGTGGGCTTGTCTGAATATCTGTGGTGTGGACGTATTTCAATATACAGTATGTATGTATATGTACATACAATATATATATACACACTATATGTGTGCATGTATATTTTTTGTTACATTTAGATATATATATTTATATACTATATGTGTGCATGTATATATTTATATACATTTAGAAATATATATTTATATGCTACTGGTTTTTCTTATGCCATCTGTAATATTAATAAATATATTCAAATATATATTTTATTCCCAGTTCTCACCAGGAGGTAGAATATTGTCCCGCTCCAGGTTTCGTGCAGACGCCAGATCATTGATGATGTACTGGAGACGAACGTGTTTGAAGACGGAACTGAAGGACGCTCCGTCCTCTGTGTTCAGAAACGGCTCCTTCTCACACAGATCTGTGGGTTCAAAAAAAGCCAAAAAACTGTAAACGATTTTTAAAAAAAAAAAAAAAAAAAAGATGTGAAGGTGCCGTTTCAGAACCTGTCCTTCGTTTGCAGAGCCAGGCGTCAGCGTCGGCGAGGAGCTGTTTGATTGGACCGTCCCACGACGGGTTGAGCTGCAGGAACATCCACTGCAGAACCAATGTTTTTACAGTGAGTTTGAGTTTGAGAACTGAAATAGAGCCGTGACGTTTGAAGTGTGTTCACCTTCTTCAGTGCAGTGTAAACATCCATCTCCACCTGCATGACGAACAGGTCTGAGGACTGAATGAGCTGCTCCATCACCTCTGACCTGTGAACCCAGAGCACACACACACTCAGACTTCTTCTTCTTCTTCTTCTTCTTCTTCTTCTCCAGAGACGTTAAAAATGTGATTTATGTTACAGACAGATCATTTCATACTGAAGAATTAATGTTGTGAATTTAGAAAATTAAAATTAAAAACTGGGACCAAGTCTCGGCCAAACTTAACATTTATTGAAACACTGACTGTAATTGTTCATGATTTCCCTTCTCTCCAGATCTGCAATGTAGAATTTTCATTTGGAAACAAATTTTAGTTTTGTGTAAACCTTGAATCTGGAACAACCAAAGGTAAATATTACAGACATGAAACAACCAAAGGTTAATATTATAAAGACATGAGAAATTTAATAAGAAAGAAAACCTCAGTGGTGTTTGTTTCTCTTTATCCATAGACTTTCCAGTTCCTTTTAAAGTAAATATTTTTTTCAAAGGCCAACAACAACAAAGAAAAATGTATGTGCTATGACATAGCACTAATACTACACATCCCACCAGTATATAGGGGCCGTATACTGGGGGGCCAAGTCTAGTACACCTTTGATATGATCTCACGGGCCAAATATAATTACACTGCGTGCTAGATCTGGCCCCCGGGCCTGAGTTTGACACATGTGCTCTGGATAATAAAGTTCACTCACTGACTGGTAGGATTTCCCTTTAACTTGATCATAAGTGAGAGAGAACGTCTGCTGGTGTGAAATAGATTCACAGCTAAAAAAAAAACCAAATTTTTTTCTCCAGTTTGTTTGGTTTTCATCACCAAACAGAACGACAACGAAACAGACGAGGGACAAACACACACAAACACAAACCGACCCCAGTTCCTTCATCAGTTCCACATTCTGGTGAGTCATCAGGTTGTTCAACAGCCACTCCAGACACCTGCAGCCAGAGGAACCACCGAGAGTCAGGTCACACTCAACCAAAACACACCAGTTAGTTACTGACGTGACGACTTCAAGACTGACTTTTTCATGACTGAATCCAGTCCGTACATCATAGCGCAGGCATAAAAACCACACACGGTCTTGGAGCTGATGTTCTCCTTCATGGTTTCTCCACACTGCTGGATCAGACCGTCCTGTGGACGTCACCAAACCACAGAAACATGACCAGACTGTGCTTTAATTAAAAATTAACACTTCACATCATCTTCCACAGATAACTACTGTACTTTCCAGACTATAAGACGTGACGTTTTACTGGTCCTAAGACTGTTTATGTCAGAGATGATCATCTACGGCCACATGAGGGCACTGTCTACATAAATCAAGAAGAAGAAACTAAACTGATGGATGAATGGTTTCAGTGATGAAGAACAAGATGGTGAACTTTTTAACCTCTTAAATTTATATAGTTTAGACTATTGTTTAAACCAGGGGTTTTCAATAGGCGAGGCGTGGCTCCACTGGAGGGCGCCAAAGAGTCAGAGGGGAGGCCTGCATGAAGCTGCATACATGAAGTGAAATTATTTGCTGTTGCAAATAATCCTTTATTAATGTCATTTTAAAAAGTCCTGAAAATAAAACTTTCCATTCCATTCCATCAGTCGTTGTTTAAACTCCACACAGAGGAGTGTGTGTGTGTGTGTGTGTGTGTGTTAGGGCGGGTGGACTGGATGTTGGGGAAGGGGGGATAGACTGTCCTTACCTAGTCTATAGGGGGGTGAAGCTGCATACATGAAGTGAAATTATTTGCTGTTGCAAATAATCCTTTATTAATGAACAGTTTGTGGATTCTTGAGAAAACAAGTATCAAATCAACCAGACCAACACTGAAGTGTGACAAACAGTCCAGTAGTAGTACTAGTTAAGTACTCTTAAACTCACTCACCAGCTGCAGCATACAGGCAGCAGCAAGAATACTGACGACTCTGCTGGGCTTGATCAGAACATCGTCGCGGTACAGAGATCCAAATACGACCTGCAGAGCTACAACACACACACACACACACACACACACACACAGATGAAAATGGTGTTTCCACAAATCACACCAACACGTTCAACCTCTGGTTCATGTGACTTGAATGATCTCACCTTCAGTGTCGATGTTCTGGTCGGGGATCTCCAGGTTGATTTCCATCATGTTGGACTCCTTCCAGGAGCCGCTGAACATACTGGAGAAATATCCGGACTGCAGGACGGCCAGGAAAGAAAGAACGAGTGTCACATGACCAGAGTCTGTCACTGAGCACCTCTGTTGTTCAGTGTACGTTACCTGGCAGAGGTAAACCTTGTGAAGGTTCCACTCCTGACCCAGAGCACAGATACGAATGTCGCTGTTTTCACCGTTCAGGAACAAAGTCTGATAAATATATTTTGATGTGCTTTTCAGCTTCTTCCTGTGAGTGAAGGAAACAAAACACATTCAGAAATCACAGATGAACGACTCAGAGCTGACTCTGTATCAGCGTCAGGTCGTCGGTCTCCACTCGCCTCCGAGGCGTATCCAGTAACCCCTCGTCCTCCTCATGCTCGCTCTCACAGTCACACGGAGCGTTCCTTTTCCTCTTCTTGCAGTCGTAGCTGTGTTTTCGGCCTGTGCTCGTTCCCTCCGACGCCTCGTCTGACCCCGGGGAGGGGGACTGGAACCTGCTGCCCAGACTTCCCATCTCTAGCTCAACACCAAACAAACAAACATATCAGAAAGGGTCGGCGTGAGTCGACACAGAGTCAATGTCCTTCTACTAACACTGGAGTTGGTCACTTATTGACCAACTGATATGAGAGAATGCAACGTTGCAGACCAAAATAATAATCTTTGTGCTACATCTTTAATTATATGAATATGAACGACGGAGCTGCGATAATTAACAAGTCGTTTGATTACATTCATAATCAACCGGTTTCTAGTTTGTTTTTGTTTTTTAACTTAAACTGTTATTTAGACAAATAAAAATAGCACAAAAACTAAAAATGTTGCTTCTAAAATGTTCATGAAACACAATTTGTGTTTAACACCGTTCTCTAAAAACGCAACTACAAAATGTTCATGAAACACAATTTGTGTTTACCAACAATAACACCGTTCTCTAAAAACGCAACTGCACCATCAATAATAAAATGAATGAAAAATAGGTTCTAAGAGTTTAAAGTCTGGACACGGTTTAACAGACAAAACCCCGGATGTGTATGGATAAGGAAACTGTTTTAATGAACTGTTTTATAAACACTACGTTACTGGATCCATGTACAGGGAGCTCCATAGGAAACAGGTAAACAAAGTCAAGTATCTACATCAATGTTGCTCCAGTTCAGTTAACATTCTTAGTGACCAGGATCTCGGTGTCAGACTTTCTACTAGACTGATTGAAGGTCAGCGGACATTTTAAATATCCGGGCGGTTTTAAACACGTGATTAATTTGTTTGTTAATGTGTGTTTGGTTAGAAATGAGTCTGACGTGATGCTTGGATTCTGTCCCTCGTTCTTTAAACGTTTACAAACAAACCAGACAGCGGAAGAACAAGTGTGCGTTGAAAACTCACCCAGCGCTCGGACCGGAGGAAAGATGGAGCAAACTCCGGCTGATATTCCTCTGGAGGGAGAGACAACCGTAGAGCAACCAACACCTTAGCGTTAGCTTAGCCGCCGAGTTCGCTCACCCGGTTCTGGAATAACTTTTAACACCGTCTCTTCATAGCAGCTGCTCCTGCTCATCAGCCTCCCGACACGGATGAACAGAGGCCTGCCTTCACTCACATGTTTCTGGGAGTTTAAATAATCCCAAAGAAAAGAGAAGATGCGACTGTTCCAAAAATCTCTGAGGCTGCTTTTGGCTTTTTGTTTTTTAATTTATTTCTTCTTCTCTGGCTGGTCAGTGCAGTGTCCACGTCACAAACAAGCGCTCTGCTCCCTCACGCCCCCTACTGACCACCATCTGTTGGTTACTGATTAACACGTTTGACTGTCTGTTAAAAATTCAAACTTTGCATTTGTCTTAGACCAAAGACCAAAGGAAAACTAAATCTAATTGCTTTAATGGCAACCCATGTCCCTTTATCATCATATTTAACCAAAATCAACACAAATGAATAAAAAAACAACATATATATAATAAGTATTCATTATATTACTGACTATTACGATTTGGTCAATTAATATTATTAAAGGGGATTTTGAAATATTTGAACTTTTGTTTATTTTCTTACCTCTTACTTGACTATAACTGTAACTATTTTGTGTGAAACGTTGGCTAATTATTATTATATTTGAGCTTATTATTTTTCACCAAGATGTCGGTTGTTTTTAGCGTATGCTGTGCTGAATTCAAGTCTCCTGCTTTATTTGTCTGGTGGTAGAAAAACATAATAATATATAACTAATAATATAATAACTGTACACATGTAAACAGTAGCTCTGTATCCTGACAGTTCATATACATACAAAGACGTATTAACAAAATATAACTCAAATCTAAATCATTCGCACACTCTCTCTGTGTCCGTGTGAGTCGGTCTCATCAGGTCAACCAGTTCACTTTTCTTCACCTGGTTCACTGATCCGACCACTAGACTAAAAGTCGGTTTAAAACAATCCAGTCAAGTCAACCAAGAAGTGTTTAGTCTGCAACAAGCTGCAATAACCAAAACATGCCACCAGGTTCTACGTACACTTATGATGGTCTGGAAACCACATTAAACCAACCCACACGGAAGTGTTTTTACACAACGATTGAGGGACAACAGCCGTAACAACGATGTTAAAAATCCAATCCAAAATGCGTTTTTGTCACATACTCATATCTATATATGTGTGTCCGTGTGAGTCGGTCTCATCAGGTCAACCAGTTCACTTTTCTTCACCTGGTTCACTGATCCGACCACTAGACTAAAAGTCGGTTTAAAACAATCCAGTCAAGTCAACCAAGAAGTGTTTAGTCTGCAACAAGCTGCAATAACCAAAACATGCCACCAGGTTCTACGTACACTTATGATGGTCTGGAAACCACATTAAACCAACCCACACGGAAGTGTTTTTACACAACGATTGAGGGACAACAGCCGTAACAACGATGTTAAAAATACAAAAAAATGCATTTTTGTCACATATACTGAAATACTCATATCTATATATACTTTTAAAATAAATAAATAAAAATAAAACGGTTGACCTCACTGTGTAAATACCTAAATCCAATTTTGTGTACAGTGGAAGCAGCCGGATGTGACGTAATTTATATTCCCAGCAGTGGGCGCGACCAGCGAAGAACCAGCCAATGAACGACGAGCAGCTGTTTCACAACATTCCAAGCTTTCCCAAATATTTTCTTTCTCCTCCTTCCCCCCCCCCCCTACTCCAGCCTGTCTCTGTCTCCCGGACTGTGTCCCTCTGTGTGGGTGAGTGTCCTAGCGTGTGTGTGCGTGTGCAGACAGGACTGTGACACGTATCTCACGGACGTGACCACACAGGACACCTCCATCTGGAACCACGATACTCCTTCATCCTGAGAAACCTTTTTTTTTAAAATTATTACTTTAAATAATAGTTTGTGTGTTTCAGCAGCATGGAGACTCGGGACGCGGCAGCCGCAGGTGAGGTTTGTGTCGTCGGTGACGGTGTGTTTGTGTTGTGGTTGTAGCAGAGTCATAAACCAGGAACAAGGCTGATGATCCGACCGTAGCCCGTTTATTTGGTTAACTCGGGGGTGTCAAAGAACTTTGAACGGCTCTGTGTAAAGGGTATGTGCCCCCCTGTCCCCTCTGCCCCCCCTGCAGTTTAAATCATGCAGTTACAATGGACAAGTCTGTGCTGCAAAAAGACCAAATAGAGGGTCATAAAAAGTCAGGTACATGTTTAATATTTATGAAGATTTACTGGAGGTTTCTGCAGCCCTTTATCAGCCGCGGTCTGTTTTAGTACAGTTGTACAACATGGTGCACTTTGAGAAGAAATCTAACCTGGGGTCCGGGGACTGATCGGAACTGACATGGAACCCACTGCTCCACAGCCAGGATTCCTAACACAGTGCCATTTCATACAGGAGCTGGAAATCCACAGCCCTCTGTGATTCCTTGAAAAAAAAAAACAAAGTCAAAGTCATTGCTGGTTTTGAAAAAAATAACTCATTTTTTTTGGGAGGAGTGAGCGTTACAGTCATGAGGCGTTCAAGTTCAATCAAGAAAAAGAACAGAAACCAGAGACACAGGGGAAACTGCTCAGGAATAGACTGCTAATATTTCCCCATCAGCGTGGTCCAATTTTTGCAACCAGTACATATGCCCCCTGGTGGCTAGCTGATAAATTCACCATCTTCGTCAACAGTTTTGTCCATTTTTCTCATCTAAACTCCAGGTTTAAATCTCATTTCACTGAGACACATGATTCTGTGGCACAAGCCACGAACTGAAAGTGACAGAAGTCGAGTATGGAATATTTACTGTTTGATTGTGGGTAAAGAACATACTGTACATCGCCCGATGTAATCCTATAGTACTTGGCTGTAGGTTTGGTTTTTCGCTGCCCAGACATGAAGTATCGCACAGTCTGTTTCTTATATTTCTCATGTACGCTTGTAGATTATGAATACCTACACCACGGACGCAGGAAATACGACTCTGGACCATGGAGTCCATGAAGGACAAAGTCCACATATTGGTCCACAGATTGGTCATAAATTAAAATTGATTTTTTAGATTTGACGGACCGTTCCTAGATCTCCATTTCTGTGTAGCTTCTCAGTCATCCAGGTCATCTTATCTAACAGTTGTTACATCGAGGCCAGCTGGACTAAGCCTCTTGGATAAGAGGTCTATGCCCCCCCATCTTTTATTTCATCTTCTCATCAGTTTCTTATCTTCTTCCAGATGTTCTTTTGAGCAGTGGCGGCGGCGGTGAGGGGAAAAAAGCGAAGAAGAAAGCAGCTCCTCAACCAGACGTAGCTAAAAACAGAATGGAGCGAATCTTTGGATTCAGGAAGGAGGACCTGAGTTCTTGGCAGAACCTGGTGGCCCTTCTCAACCGTCCATCTGACCCGGCATCCCTGGGCATCTTTCGCTTCTTGTTCGGTCAGTCGGACTGTCGTTGAAGACGCATGTAGCTTCAGCGAAGAGAAAACGACACAAAGTCAAAGTCACGTTTTTTTGTGTGTGTGTTTTTCAGGTTTACTGATGGTCGTTGACATCACACAGGAACGAGGCCTCAGTCACCTGGACTACAAGTACCTGGATGGCTCCCCCGTGTGCCGTTTCCCACTCTTTAATTTCCTGAAGCCCCTGCCCATGGACTGGATGTACCTGGTCTACGTGGTGATGATTCTGGGTGGGTCAAATCCGTCCGTCTTCTAATTTTAACTTCCATCCAGTCGACCTGAAGCTGAAACAAACAAATCCAGTCCGGTCGGACAGAAACACTTCATCCTGGTCTCATTATGATTCTGGGGGAGTCACGTTTATGGCGGTGGTCTCTGCAGGGGGCGCTGTCTATGGTAAAGATTAAAGCAAATATTTCCGACTTGCGAAGTTTCCTCTTCCACAGTCGCCTTAGATACTGCTGGGGGAACTTTGTGACTTGAGTTCTACGACAAACAGAACACAGTGAAAATCAAAGAGAATCAATAATGATTTATCACAGAAACTGCAGTACAAATCCCTGCAGTACTCTGTATCTGCTGAAGAGACAGAGTAGATTTAAAAGTACATACGTTCAGGAAAAGTATTGTTACTTTGATTGTTTTTTTTTTTCTTCTATTCATTAAGGTTTATTTTCTGTGATTCTGTTATTGTCTAATTAGAGTTTGAGTCAAAGCACAGATAGTTCAGGCGCTCCCTAACTGTGTCAGTTTGGTTTGTTGTTCCTGTAAATGAAGGCGCTCTGGGCATCATGTTGGGCTGCTTCTACCGTCTCTCCTGCCTCATGTTCATCTCCACCTACTGGTACATCTTCTTCCTGGACAAGACGGCCTGGAACAACCACTCCTATTTGTACGGACTGATTGGATTTCAGCTCAGTCTGATGGAGGGGAACCGATACTGGTGAGAACGGTTCCGGTGTTCTGTATTCGTCCGTCATATTCCGCCCTGGGTTTGTTTCCTGTTAGCGTTTAAAATCCTCTCTGTTTCCAGGTCGGTTGATGGTTTGAGGAGACCGTCCATAAGAAACGCTCATGTGCCTCTGTGGAATTACACTCTGTTGAGGACACAGGTTTGGACATTGAACTTCCTTCTTGGCGAAATATATGGAAATATATATAGAAATATTATATATGTATATATTCATATATACAGAAATACATATATACACATATATTCATATATACACACATATATGCATACATATACATATATACATATATACATGTATACATACATATATACATACATACATACATACATATATAAATACATATATATACATACATACATATATATACATACATACATGTATATATTTATACATATACATATATATATACATATATATATATATATGTTGTCTCCACATTGATAATCAAATGATTATTCTGTGACGACTGTTAATTACGGCTGTTGTCCCTCAGATTTTTATCGTGTATTTCATCGCCGGGATCAAGAAGTTGGATGCGGACTGGGTGGAGGGCTACTCCATGTCATATCTGGCCCATCACTGGCTTTTCGATCCCTTCAAGTACGGACCATGAAGCAGCTCCATGGTAAAACAGCTTTGATCAGCCATGATTTAAAGAGTCACGCTCCAGAACGGTTGTTTGTTTTCCAGAATGATTCTTCCCGTGGAGCTGGTCAGTTTGTTTGTGGTCCACGGTGGAGGTCTGATCCTGGACCTGACCGCTGGGTACCTGCTGTTTTTCGACGTCACTCGACCGTATGCCATGTTCTTCGTCTCCTACTTCCACTGTATGAACTCTCAGCTCTTCAGTATCGGTGAGTCCGTCGCCTCCCGTCACCGACTCGACACTTCCCTAACGTTAGAGAGTTTGAGTTCCGCTCTTGTTCTCGCAGGGATGTTCCCCTACACCATGTTGGCCACCACTCCAATGTTTTGCTACGTGGACTGGCCCAGAAGATTCTTCTCCCATTTCCCATCATTCCTCACTGCGGTTCTGCCCTTTACTACACCGGAGCCGCAGCCCAGCGCGTCTTGTATTTACCCAGAGGTCCAGAGCAGAAGCAGTGACCGCCGTCAGACGCCTCCTGATCGTAACGTTTCCAAGCCGAGATTTAAGCACAAACTGGGAGCCATTTTCACAGTCGTCTACATCCTGGAGCAGCTTTTCATGCCTTACTCTCACTTCATCACAAAGGTGAGTCCTCACAGCCTCAACACACACGTTTAACTGGAAAACAGGATAAACTGGGGATGTCCGATAATATCGGCCCGATGTTAGCATGATTATCTGTAAGAATCGTTATCGGTTTGTCCTGCTGATAATGAAAACCCAGTAATGCAATGCCTGGGTTTCTCCAAATAATGTGTGTCCTAAAAAAAAGTTTTGGGGAAAAACAGCCGTGTGTGGACGTGAAAGCCACTAGATGGCAGCATTGCAGCTCATTTTATTAATCTATTTTAATAACCAGTATTCAATTCGGGGATAAAAAAAACTTTTGTCCTCAAGGGGGGGCATGTCAGAAACCTTAGTGCCCGCTATAGTGGTATCGGTTAATATCAGAATCAGAAATTAAGTGTTTGGACAATATCGGCATATCGATAAAAAAGTTAATGTCGGACATTTCTAGGATAAAAACGTATATTCATGAGTAACTTCTAGTACCTTCTACTATCTGAGTTGTTCAAAATGGTGTCCACATTATCTCACTGAGACACTGTTGACTAATCCGTGTTAAAAGTCAACGATCTAAAACAAACAACCTGGTCGGGGATTTGTCGGATGTGAAGACCGGCCCTTTTTCCTCTTTGTCCTTATAAGACAATAAAAAAAAAGAAAGGAAAAAAAAAAGCTCTTATTATTACCGTCACATAAATCTGGACGTTACGTTGTTTTGTCCAGGGCTACAACAACTGGACCAACGGTCTGTACGGCTACTCCTGGGACATGATGGTCCACTCCCGCAGCCATCAGCACGTCAAGATCACCTACAAAGACGGACAAACCGGAGAGACCGGGTTTCTGAATCCAGGGGTGAGATAAAGACACAACCTTTTAGCCAGGGTTTTTCAACCTTGGGGTTGCAACCCCATGGTTGGGTCGTCTGGAATTCAAATGGGGTCGCTTGAAATTTCCAGTAGTTGATATAAAAATATTACTGATAAAAATACTTTTAGAAGTAATTATTAATAGGGAACAGTAACAATACGACTTTATCAGAATGAACTCCTTTTCTTTGTCAGAACTGGTCTGTGGACCTCATCCACTGACATGGTTCTCTTCAATAACAGAAGAGGAAAAAAAGTCACATTTCTGTCCAGAAACACTGGACCATCTCCATTGATCTGCTCTGGTTAAACTGGTCAAACTGAGAAAGAGAAAAAACAGGAAGTGGAAAGAGTTCCACTGGAGAACACTGTTGGTGTCTGTGGAACCAGTTCTTCCCATGTTCTGTTCCAACACCTGAACGTCTCTCAGCCTACGTAGGACCTGACGTCTGGGTTTAATAAAGGGTCACCACCAACGTTTTTAGGTGCATACTGCCACCTACTGTACTAGAGGGTGTAGTGTCATGGTCTGACCATGATCAGTGGCCATTGTTTTTCAAAGCATCGTTACATTCTGTGTTAAAACTTTGCTTCAAACATTAAAGTGACTAAGTTTCCGTGTGAGCTCCAGGTGTTCACACACAGTCGTCGTTGGAAAGACCACGGCGACATGCTGAAGCAGTACGCCACCTGTCTACACGAGTTTCTGCCGCACTACAACATCTCTGATCCAGAAATCTACTTTGACATCTGGGTGTCCATCAACGAACGCTTCCAGCAACGGTAGAGCAGCTAAACAATGTCTGCGTAGGTCAAAGGTGAAGTCAGGCGATGTTTACAAGGTCACGTTGTTCTCTTCAAGGATCTTTGATCCCCGCGTTGACATCGTCAAAGCCGATTGGTCGCCATTCAGGCCGAACCCTTGGCTGATGCCTCTACTGGTGGATCTGTCACCGTGGAGGACCAAGCTCCAGGAGATCGAGGGCAGTTTGGACAATCAGACGGAGGTCGTCTTCATAGCTGACTTTCCAGGTTTGGATTTTTAGGCAATTCATATCTGAGGAACAGTCGAAAAGTTAAACTGAGACTAATTTCATATCTGAGGAACAGTCGAAAAGTTCTAAGACTAACTGAAAACTAAAGGGTTGTTTTTTAATTTACTTTTTTTATGTCAAAACATAAACTCCTGCTCTTCTTTACCGCTCAGGTCTGCACTTGGAAAACTTCGTAAGTGAAGATCTGGGCAACACCAGTATCCAGGTGTTACAGGGAAAAGTGAATGTGGAGATCGTGGGGGAGAAGAAGAACCAGAGTCTGCAGACCGGGGAGCAGATGAAGGTACAGTTACACTGAAGCCTGATTTGTCGACTAATATGACATTAATATGACGAGTCATTTAATGACATCATCACATCAACAGAGGAGGAACCACACACACGTCCAACAATGACCATGTGACTCTCACTTTTTATACTTCATCGTGAAGCCGCTCATGTTCGTCCTTCTGTGCGTCACTGACCACTGGTGGGCGACCTGCTATCAAGTGATTATGACATGAAAGGCAGAACAATTAAATCTCTTCTGCTAGGGGGCAGCAGATCGCTATGAAAACTAAAGATAATCAGAGCTGTCGAAGAAGATCTTTGTGAGTGTCTTTCTTCAATCCCTGCCAGTACATCAGCTTTGTCTTCAACTAAACAGGCTGAGATTTTAGTCAATGATGAGGTCACTTAAACTGGAAGATTGTTATATTTTTATTACATCGACTTTTTGTCAGAATATTTGTT